GAAAATGCGGGATGCGGAGAATGTTGGATAGTCGCTATTTGCGAAAATCTATATTAAAACAATAATTACAAGCACATCCCCAGATCCCTTTAACATACGTAAAAGGAAAAAGGAAGGTAAGATATAATAATATCCAGAATATCAATATCTTGCACATCTCCAGATCCAGGTCTACTAATACAGGTAAACCAATAGGCTAGCATCATTCCATTTGAGAGTATTCAAGACGTGCGATTTTCATTCTTTCTTTAGGAAGATTCTCGCCAATCGCAAGAATGTCCGGTGGTCCAGTTCAGTACTCGTACAATTAGGTACTGCAGCGCAGGCATCATAGTGTATCAAGAATACAGTACGGTACTTAGGTACCCATACCTTGTTGGTGGCGTGACTGACCCGTTTATTGCATGAAGCGAGAAGTGCATAACTGCAGCTATGACTCCTGCTAAGGCCCTTTATTCGCGCACTCCAGCACAAGAGTAGATTGTTGATGATGGTGATGATGATGATGCGTTTGGTGTTTCATTTGGGTGTACTGTACGCACTTGTAATGGGATGACGTTTCCGAACACACCTGCTTGTGCATACCAGGCAGATCCGAGTAGCAGGGTCGAAATTTGGCGGTATGCAACACGGTACTGGAACATTGGTTGTCGTGTTCACGAACGTCAACCCTTTGCTTACATGTATGATATCAAAAAGTTGTTTGGGTATCTCTATAGTCCTAGACGGGCCGCAAAATGTAAATTTATCCCAGTTACACCATCCGGCTTCAACTAAGCTGTCTGAAAGATCAAATACCCCTATCGCGAGAAAAGAACACTACGTAAGGTACACACCAATAGCTGTACTCGCTCAATGCTGGTGGAGAGGAGAATCCTTTCTCTATACTTTCCCCTTCGTTTCAGCAAAGTTCTGTGCCGCGCACTGGTATCCTTCTGTATTGTGGGGGACAAACACGAATTCTCGTATGATATGAGTTTGTTCATCCCGTCCAAGGGGGCTCCCAACAAGTACCGGCACTGGGAATTGATTGGATGACAACTGGTAGTCTACAGGACACGTTCCCCTCTTCATTGGCTCAATTCCGCTTTTCTTTTTCTTGCACCCCTATTTGAGGAATGTTCGGTTTGTCAGCCCTTTAAATTCATACAGGGAACATTGCTGGCTAACCGCCAGATTGCAGCAGGAAGGAGGGGAAAGGATCTAGCCCTGTAAACCCAGTCGGTTTCAAGCCTACCGGCATTAAGTGACGAGGCTCGGTTTCGGAGGATCAGAACGATCCATGTCTCGTCAACTCGTGTTATTTGTCGGGTTTGTCGGGCAACAAAGAGAGGCAGTGAAAACAGGAACGAGCGAAACGTGAGATGCTACGGGTGCGGTACGCCAGCATAACGTACGAGTACGAGTACTGTACAGTACGAATAAATTACCGTAATGTACCCCCCAGAAAGGGTGCCGGGCTCTTGCGGGTGCTCTTCTATACTGGTAGCTAGCGAGTACCGTACAATATCAATACCAGTACTCTACAAGATTACCTAGCAGGAGCTACGCGATTCTCTACAAGTACTCGTACTACCGGTATCTGAGTATCTGAGTCCTGGCGCCAAGACATCCTAAATACGGTGCTTTTTGAATTTTGGGCCTGGCACTTGTACTCGAGTACTCGTACGAGTACAGTACGGTAGGTGTTAATCCACAAGGCCTGTGCCGTGGACTTTCCTTGCCACCCCTGGATGGAAAGGACGGGAATGGAAGGGAAGGGGAGAATAAACTGGAAAACAGGGTTGCATAACTTACAAAATTGTACCCTGCTCTGCCGCTGCTCAAGCACTGCGATACTCGAACGCCCTATGCAAAGGCTACGTACGAGTACAGCAGAGTACCGGCCGGTACTGTACCAGTACAATTCTACCGCTATCTGGAATGCCACAAAGCGAACAAGGGATATTGGGTGATTGGCACGCAAGGCACGGGAAGTATTAGAACGCATATACTCGAGTACTGTACTCGTGTACGGTAGTTTATTTGTGCTGACCCTAGCAGACAGTGCTCCAGTGATGCTACAGTTCTCATACAACAAGCACTTACCAGTACTCGAGTTAGAGTACAATATCCCACAGCATCTCAAGGTTGCACGAGGCTATCTGCAAAATTCATTGACACCTGACCATCGCAACCAATTTTCCCATAAAAAACCATTCTGAACAAATGCCTTCCATGCCACCACTCAATAGTCCAAGAGGTGAATGGACTACTCTTACAAGAGTAAAAGTCCTTACTGTATTAGATACTGGTGTTTTGCAGGCAGAAATCTCACATCAAACTGGTGTTCCTCATCCAATAGTAGATTTGTGGTCAAAAACACAATGCTCACAGCATAACCATACTCGCTCTGGATGTCTACCAGCTCTAACATAGTAAGATATCCGGCACTTAATCTACCTGCTTCAGAGGAACTGGGAAGAGAGAAAGCTTTGCTGGAAAAAACTTAGTGGAGAGGCGGGACTTCATGTATCGGGAACTACAATTTATCGAGCATTGGGAAAAAATGGTTATTTCTGATGCAAGGCCTGTAAGAATTCATTCATTTCTCAGGAATGTCAAAAGAAGAGAAAGGAGTATGTGATAAAACATCACAATAAACTACTTGAGTATTGGCAAGTATTAATGTACTCTGATGAGTCTTCATTTGATATCTCTTCTCGTGGCTCTAATTGGGTCATACAACAATCAAACGAATATTATTACAACAATTGTATTCAGTGGAACACCTCAGAGGAAGTGGTTTTATGATAGTATAGGATGCGATCAGCCATGATTGGAAATCGCCATTGGTTGTTTTAGAGAGGAGGGGGAATTGAGGGTTAACTTCTCAAGATTATCTTGATCAGGTCCTGGAACCAATTGTGGCACCTGCATTTTATGGGCTTGATAACTATAATATAAGAGCAGAAGCTCTTGATGTTGAAGACCAAGCACCATACCATAGAACAAAGATTTCATTGGTGGAGGTTAAAAAAACATTAGGAATTGCTGTACATTCATGGCCTACATCCTCTCCCGATCTCAACCCGATAGAAAATGTTTGAAAGATCACGAAACTGAGAATCAAAGCTCACACAGTATTTCCAGACACAGTGGAGAGTATGACGAACACAGTTTGGGAGGAATGGGATAAGTTGGTGCCGAGGGATTGGAATAAGTATATTGATAGTTTGTCTTCTAGGCTGCAGCAGGTGAAGGATCGGAAAGGGATGCAAACTGAGTTTTAAGATTTTTTACTTTCTGTATACTGCTTTCTGATCTTTTATTAACATGCTTTATTTTCACCTCATGATAAATTGTAGTTGTTGAGGTATTGGCGATACAAAATTGTCTGCGTGGTTGTCACCGCACAGGGTGCCAGCGAACCCCGAAGATCGCCCCGCACCCTAGCACGGCACCCGAGCAGGAGCAGCCTACGGTACGCATGAGGAGAGATCCCCTCACTCTAGCTCCCTGTCGAGTCCACCGGTGGGCACTTTTGTCCTAGCCGACGATTGGTTAGTCTACTCTCTATACTAATCTTCTTTAGGGAAGGTGGGTACCGTCATCTCACCCACCAACTCGTACTCCAATTCTTCAGCCGCAGCACCTTGGAAAAAAAAAATTATGCCAAAAAGGATTTGGGCCCTCATTGGACGCTGACTGGCGAAAGACCCCCCCCCTTTGTAATATCCAACAAGCCTTGTGGGCGATGAGGAACGATGGGGATTTTGTAAAAAAAAAAAAAAAAGAGGGAAGGTGTGGGGGGCAATGATGGGAGTGTTTTTAGGCGGTGGAAGTCAATTCTTGCTGATTCACCCATTCTCCCCCGGCACTAGTGGAGGTACCAAGAGAGGTTTCTGTCTCCGTCCAGAAAAGAACTGCGCGAATTTCACGAATTCCTCCATACATTTTTACGATTTGCTCAACCGTTGGAATAAAACAAATTATGCACAAGACTTTTGCCGTGGGTTCTCGTGAGGGTATGGGTGTGCGAGGGCGTTCAATTTTTCTTTCTGCTCACCCCAATCTCACGCACTGTTTTTGCAGGGATAGCCTTACCATTTTTGGGTAACGCACGGAGGGAGTGGGAAAAGAGACAGGGAGAAAGCGAAGCCTTCCCGGGTGCCTTGGGAGAGATAGGGCAGGCGCAGCAGAAGCAAGTCGAGAAATTGTGAACACCGAGATCTGGACCAACTTTCTCCCTCTATCTAAGTTCTGATTGGGTGAACGGGCTGAGAAAAAATGAATGAAAGAGAAAAAAAAGGAAAAATATAATATAAAGAAATAGAATCCTGCCGTATCATACCGAATTCCACCGGTCTATTTCTGAAAATACAAGCAAGGAATATGGACATCCTTGTCCCTGTACCGTACTCTGGTTTGCGAACGACGCTACCCGACTTTAATTCGTACTTGTATCGTCGGGCTGCACAAGCAGATTATTCGAGGTGGACTTCCATGCTCGTACTGAAAACACTTTCTTCCTGTCTTGCCTGTTTCTCTTTACGGTTCGTTTTTCCCATCAAGTTAACTATGTTAACACAAGCTGCAGTGTATTGCATGGTGAGGGGCGAAGAGATGAAAGGTCCGCGTGCACAGTAATATGGTGGCACTTGGGTTCTGATCTTCTTTCAGAGCTCTACAGCGATTATGTTCTATGAAGGTTACAGTACTTTACTTCCAACCTTGTTCCTTCTTCTGCCGTTACCGGTACAACCTCAGTGATGTTTTCTCCAATACTGTGCGAGTACTTGTGCGGGCACCGTACAATGTGAAAGGGTGGGTGGAGGTACAGTACTTTGGGGGGGGTGGAAAAAAAAAAAAAAAAAAGAAGGTATGCCAACCGCAGACACTCTCCCTGCCCAAGCCCACACGACTCGAAGGGAACGCCTATAAGTTCTGACTCACTTCCCTCACCCCCTCTCCCCCTTCCTCCCCTCCTCCTTTCCTTCTTCCCCACACCTCATCTCCTCGCTGAAAAAAAAAAATACTCACTCAAAAGTTCTTTATAAAATATACCCCCTACCCCACGATTAAGATAGTTATCATGGACGTTTAGTTCCTCTCCCCGATACAACCTCAAACCTCGTTTTCCCACGCTTGTACCCCTGTAGAATCCTTCACCACGCCTTCCCCAGAGATCTACGGACCTCTGAGCCCTTCGCTTAGCGACATTACCCCACAACAGCCAGTCACCATTCTTCCCTCGGAACCATTGTGTTTCCCTCCAAACGACCAGCCATGGCCCTCCACAACCCCTCACCAGAGGCTTTCGCCGCAAGTACTAGCCTCAGACTCGCTTCCACCGCTGCCCCCGACTCCCAGGTCACCAGCCGTTGCTCATTTCGACAGAACCAGCGCTCACGACAACCAGATCAGTTTCGACGATCCCGTGCTCTTTCCTCAGCGAGCGCAACCATCCCCGCGTACTCTCCCTAATCAGCTGCAACAGTCGCAACAACAATCACGCACTGCTCAACCCCCGCAACCGCGAAGAGTAAGCGAGATTGTTCACGGTCTCGGATACACTACAACGACGTCTTCGTTCAACCATCGGCAAGCCTCAACCTCGTATCAGTTCACTCCAACTCAGCCCCAGGATAATTCTATTCGTACGCCCGAATCAAGACAGATTTCTCAGCAGCAGCAACAACAGCCTATTCTTGACCCCACCACCGCTGCTCATTACTTCCAGACTCTGCGCCAATCAGCACGGGCATACAAAATGCAGCAGGGTATTTTTTTCCCCCTTCCCCACTTTCCCTTCCATCCTCACTCCCTGAACTCAAAGATGGCATGGCATCAAAATTTCCGCCCTCGTCTGCCTTGGGCTTTTAGAAAATCGTCTAACAGATTTATCGTAGAGCAAAATATGAAAAAGATTGATCCTGAGGCCGCCTTTGAGGAGTGGTTCTCGACCGATTATCAAGGACTCCCATCCGACTTCTCCCCGCTTACTGGAGTCCACGATACCTCTTCGCCATCCATCGGTCCAACCGTTTCTCCTCAAGAGCTTCTCATGAATCCTCCTACTTCTACTGCTACAACGAATCTCGCGTCCCCTCTGTCTCTCTTTGATTCCCCTTCTGAGAGCTACGATACATCCCCACTCTTTAATGGTGACGATGTTTCGTCGGACGGTCAATGGTTCTCGTTGTTTCCTGAGACGAATCCTGATCCTGAGGACTCTGTTGTTTCCCCCACTATGCCCAATATGCCCCAACCGGACTGCTCTGGGGATCTTCCTGGACGTTTAGATGAAGAGGGTCCTGATTCCCCTAGCACCTCCCCCCGCTATCGCAGCCAAAGCGTATCTACACAGCGACGTTCGGCAACTTCTGGCGTTCGAAAGAGGGCGCCTTTGCCGCCCATTGTCGTTGAAGATCCGTCTGATACTGTCGCCATGAAGCGTGCGCGAAACACCCTCGCTGCCCGAAAGTCGCGAGCTAAGAAATTGGAGCGAATGGAGGAGATGGAGGCCCAGATTGAGGAACTTAAGGCTGAGGTTGAGCTATGGAAAGATCGAGCCCTCGGCCATCCTCGCAGGGTTTGATTTGGCTTTTCTCGGAGGAAGTGTTTTTTCTTATCTTAATTCCTTTTAACTTGTATTTTTGATGCTGGTTTGTCTCTTGTGAAGGCGGATGTAATTGGAGGAAAGTGCACATTTTCATTCTTTTTCTATTTCCGTATCTTGAAGCTTCCCGCGACCATTTGCGCTTTTAACGACACGTTACGACTTTGTTTCTTTCTCCACATTTTATGGGTTATACATTCTCTAGCCCTAATTTATCCTTCAATTTTATCTTCACCATCAGTCGCCTATTGACAAGTAGTATCCAAAAAGAAAAAACCCCTCAGAAGAAATTAATCCAAGTGCGAAGGTGCAAAACGCGCGTAGTGGGTGCGCACTTTCTTGTCACAGACCCGTATGATCTTGTGCGAAACGCAAAACACTTTTGTTCGATTTTAGATTATTGCCCAATCCCACAGTAATCCTGGACTCCTACTGGTCGGCTGTAGCCTAAGATATGTACCATACTGTACTGTACTCCAAGGCACAGGTATGACTCCGAAGTATGCTGTAGCCGGACGGATGGGTACGTGCGCTGGGAGGTGGAGGTGGGAAGGGATATGGAAGGGAGGGGTGGCGAGTCACTCACTACTCGAGTATGCTACGTGTGCCGCCCAGCACGAGCAGATAGGGTGTGGATCATATCCCCTCCCTCCTTCCTGCCCTGGATTGAATGAGGCTGAAGTGGTGAAGTGTAACATGATACCGGTCACGACGTGTCACTCGGTGCGCTAAGTCAGCTTCATTTTTTTGCGCTTGCACTAACACCCCTATCTGCGTATCCTATCTGCGTATTAATTCCTGAGTGGTGTGTGACTAACTTTGCGAGGTGCTTCGAAGGGTTTGGGGTGTTCGGGCGGTTTTTAACTCATAGGGCTGGCAATTCGGGGCCGTCTTTTCACCGACCCCTCGTTGGAAGGGGGTCGATGGGGTCGGTGCATGATTGGATTGATGGGAGTACGAGTGCGGCCGATAGATATATCCGTCACGTGGGTCTGATAAAAAAGCTTTTGGTGGGAAACCCTCGCCAAAAATCTCTTATCAGACCCACGTGACGAATATATCTATCGGCCGCACTCGTACCGAGCACAGCATCTCCAGACCCATGATGCGGGGTATTCGCTAGGGTCTTTTATTTTTTCCTATTCAGTGCCTGGATTATTGGATGAGAGTTTTGCGTGCGGATTTGTGAATTAGTTCCACGGGTGGTTGTACGATAGCGGTGCTCAGCTCACGGCAGCCCACCATACACTGCTAACGCAGTCAAGGTTAAGGTTAATAATATAGCTCCAGTCTAACATTTTCTTCAGATTTGAAATACCGATCGATACGTGACCTATCTCCAGCATCTAGGTGCCGGTGCGGTTCCAATGTGACGTGAGGATTATTTGATTGCTGCCCACGATTCTCAGAGCACCAGAGCGTGGTGCTGTACAGTACACTTGGCTACCATTCGCTCTGGCATAACTTGCATAAAACTTATAACTTCTCCCACTCCCAAACACGACCCGTCACGAATCTTCCAGTTACGGTGCAGAGTTCCTAAGGTGTAATTTACCGTACCAGAGCCGCTGCATTGTGAAATGCTCATCGTATATTGGTATAGGATAAATGCCGGGACAATGATATTCAAAAATATATAGTTCACCTCATTTCTGCCTCGAGGGTTTTGTTTAATTTTCTTTATTTTTAGGAAATTTGGGGGTATAATTTTCTGATATATGATATAATATTGCTTGTATAATGCCCGCAATATCTCATGCTTCACGATATTTTCCTCCACTGTTAAGCAAATATCATACAAACCAATATTTGATAAATTGGTGAGAGGTGAGGTCATCGGTGAGGTAAACCGTTATTGTGGTCTGTTGCAACAAGCAAGTTGACATTAATAATATATTAATGGAGGGAAATAGTAGAATAGAACCAAAATATTGGAAATCTGTTGTTTTGGAACTGAGTCCAATCCATATAGTCTAATAGAGGTATTTCACAATATAGCGAGCTTGGTATTGCCGTATCAAAGACCCGAGGAATGCTTTGCACCAGAGTCTATCATGCGTAGCCTTAGTGCTTAAGGGCAAGAAAGTGCCCTAGCCCACTCACTATCTTGGCACCACCAACGCCAGTTATCATACCTCCCGAGACTCAAAGCCTGCACCTCCCCCCCCCAAGCACTCTTACCCCTGCTAAAACTAAAACCCAGACCATCCCGATCGACGGCCGCACAACACCTACCAGAAGAGCAACCGTTATCCCGCCCCCAAAGTCCGAACTTGTACGCTTGTTGCTCTCTCTCCATCAGCTATCCGCGCAGCATACCTCAGCGCCCCGATGCCGCCAGCCCCGGTATCACGGTAAGTGCTCCTGATGACATTTATAATACTGTATGTCCAGCTACAAGACGTTATCTCGGGCACTACGCGATAGGTACGTCCAACTGCCCTTTACCGTACTAATATAATACGTCCTTGCTAGGTATTGGCGTCTATGTTAGCCCCTCATCTACTATGAAAGCTGTATCATTGCGGGAAGAAATAGACAGGCAAAATGGCATGCGACTTCTTCTCCACTCCTGGCGTGATGTTTCAGCGAAAGCTTAAGCTAACCCCTTCAACTTCCAACCCAAGGTGTCTGTGTGTGCGGCCTGGTAAATGGATGGGGTTTTGGGCGGGGATACTGAAACCGTATTGTCATACCCTATCAGACGTTATGGGTGATATGGGCGCGGGTACCGGTACATATTGTATGATTTTAGAATTGGGATATTTCAGGCGATGGTCTGAGCATGGGGTATGGTACCCAAAGTATCGGTATCTGACCTGCCAATACTACGCTATCATAATATTATCGGGGCTTAATTCTTGATAATATGCTGTATGTGGGAACCAGAATTACCAGTATCACAACGTGACTGCCATCAACGATCACTATCATTGCATCACCAAACTTTAAAATTACTAACATGCTTGGCAAAAGATAAAGTACACACCATTCGTCCTCCACTTACTCGGAACATCCGATCTAACAACCCAACCAGCACACTTTTTTTTTCTTTTTTCTTTTTTTTCTTAAAAAAAACCATGTGCAAACCCACAATATATCACGATAGGTTAATCATACTCATCCTTGCATGCCAACCATCCATTCCTCCGTCCGCCATGGCGAAAGAGAGAAGAAAAAAAGTGAACTAAACCCGACCAGACCCGGAAAATAAAAAAAATAAAAAATAAAAAGGAACAACGCAACACCGGATGAAAGAACCAAGCTATAGTCAAAAAGCGAAGCAAGAGAAACCTAACATGGGGAAAAGGAGTATCTCGCTCCCTGCCCCAAGAAATGCTGAGAACGGGTGAGCAACAACATTAAAGGCATTGTTGAAGTGTTGAGTTTGGAGACAATGAGAAGGGGTACGTAAACTGAGAAAGCACCAGAGGTGTGAGGGCAAAAGCAACAATGTGAAAAGCAGAGCAATCAAAAGGAAAAAGAGAAAAGTAAAAGGGCACAAATTTCTGTTCACAAATCCTAGCTGTCATAATCATCGTCATTATCTCAAAACTCGGGTTTAGCTTCCCCTTATCATATCGATCCGATATTAACCGTTATAGCAATATCCAGTATCATATTCGGATTTTTCGGTTTTCGATTCTTTTTCCTGCACTTCATTATTCATACATGTGCCTTTATTAGTTTATCGGTGGTGTTTTTTTATGGGCTGAGTGAGAGTTTGTTGGATGGATAAGAGATATGGGGTAGGTAGTGAAAGGGTTGTCGTTTTATTCAACAACGCAATCTGAGAGATTAATTAGGAGTTGTGCAAGGCACCTCTTTGTCGCTGCGTCATCACGAAGGACCGAGGAAAACGTTGCGTCACGCAAGGGCTCTGGAAGGCACTGTCTCAAAGCTTCACGAGCACGAGGGTTATCGCTCAAGCTATTTTTTTAAGTAAACCAATAGTGGTGTCAGTAATTTATGGAGAGGGCCAAGAAATCCTGTTTACTACTTGAATGGACATACCGAAGAAAGCACCTAACCACGTGCTTGAGTAGCCTAACCGTCTGCTGGTCCACGAGCTGGGTGACCATGTTGCTCAAGACAGTTCCGACAGCATAGAACCGCTCATAAGTTTGACAGATGTACGCCAGCCCCATATCATCGAGGAGGATCTTTTGGACAATAAAAATTGCAACAGTCTTGGAGAGCTCAGATCCAGTCTCCATGATGCGAAGGCACAAAGGAATAATTTCGGTGGACAGGAGAAAGTTGATGACATCAGAGGAATCATTCTTGACTAGAGCTCCAATGACACCTAGCGAGGTAAGGCGCAAATACTCGAATGGCCTGGACTTGGACGTCGTGTTAAGGAATGGGTATAAAAAAAGCGGGATATGAGCTATAGAGCCTTGGGTCAGCAAATTGTTTCAATCTTCGACACCTCGATAAGCTATACCAACCATTCAAAAAGAGTCCTCTAGTATCGTTATGCGACGCAACGCACTGAAGTAATGCCAAGGCATTGCACACGCGATTTGAGGCAGCGGCGGTAAGGCTGGATGGCATGAGTAGCGGATACACGGAGATGATCTCTTGTAACAAGGCGGTCATGACACCTATCATACAAGCCGCAATCAGTATATCATAGTCCCCTGATATCCTGAGATATAAATATGGAGCCCGTGTCATACCAACTGAGTGCCAAAGAATCAGCGCAAGATCGTCCACCTGCTCCCTCTTCTTGCTCAACTCTAACAAAGCAGTTTCTCTATTAATGCCCTGCATCAACTCAAGTATCCACCCGTAAACCTTGGGATCCTCTTCGGTCCCAGCTCGAGCACCCATCAAAGTCAACTGTGGATTAGGAGCAGGAGAAGGCTGCGAAGGTGTCAACATAGGTCTACCGGGCATGCCAAACTGGGGTTGTTGTTGTTGGGGTTGCTGCTGCTGGGCCTGCTGTTGTTGGGCCGCATGATGCCAATTGTTCTGATCATGTGGCTGAAAATGCTGATGGTTCTGAAAGATCTGCTGCTGCTGCGATTGCAGCATCTTGGGGTTATAGTTGAACGCTGCCACGAGGAATGATTTCAGAGGGGGGCGCAATAATTGCAAGTGTGAGTATAGCAGAAGTGGTGGCGGTTGGTGGTCAGTGTTGTGCAAGGGCGGAAGGTGGGGGTGAACGTTGGAGGTAAGTGGAAGGAAACGAAGGGTGTTACAGTCATCACCAAACCCGCAATGAAACTGGGTGGCGGCGGGTTGGGAACTGTAGGATTAGCGCTAGGCATGTATGATACGAGTAGAAGGTATTTTTTTGTTACCCTACAAGGTCCGGCAAGAAGTTGGGCAACGGTTATTTAAGGTTAACCGACCAAAGATATCCCAGTCTGTTCAAATTAATGGTTTCCTACACTTGTACGAGCTTGGCAACAAAAGAAACGTACCCCCCCATTTTACACCGATAATGGCAGATTTTAAGCAATCGCTACTCCATGAAAAACAATAAAGAACTAACAAAATTAATGCCATGATGTAGGCAATTACCTAGACTTTCTGGGTAGATTTTATCTGAGTTTCACCACTCTACATGAATGGCGGAGAGCTTAGAGTGAAGATCAGTTGTGGTTGCAATATACCTTTTGTATGGAAGACTTATCCAAAATTGTAAGTACCTTTTGATCACTATCATTCCTTCTAGTAGTACTCCATGGGCATTAACTAACAGAGCTTTTCACTTATAAATGATCATATCTAGATGGCTCCAAAGGCTCTGGAAATTTTTGATTTTTTTTTACAAGTGATATAGCTGAGATTTTGTGAAGTGAAAATGCTCATTTTTGGTGTAAAATGGGGAGGTACGTTTCTTTTGTTGTCAAGCTCGTACAAGTACAGTACTTCGACCCACTCTTCCTGCTTTGCGGACTAAGTTCTCATGTTCTTCACCTAGCTGGTTTCATAGGGAATAAAGTGCTGTGAATAAGGAATAGTACATACTTGTGCCAAGGCTGTGTGACTGGGGGTCACAAACTCAGAATGCTGCCTTGCTTGCTCGCAAATGGGGGCAATCACCTGAGTGCCCGAAATTTCAACGTAAAAGTTATCAGTTCAACATCACTTTGCGGCTTGTGGCTGAGTGTAAGAAGTTTCGTGTCTTGGCTTAAGACCTAGTTTCTGTCACCCTTCAGGATACAGGTGCTAGGGATAATATATTCACACAGTTAATTTAGGTTATTCCGCGATATAATCCCTGTCTTGTACAAAAACAACTTTCTTGGCATTTGTACAAAGGGGAGCATTTAGATTTGAACGAGAGAGCCTACACGATACAAGCGAGTCCCGGTCCCTCTCTGTCTTTATATCTATAATGCAACAATCTCCAAATTGAATCCATCTGATTAAAAAATACGATCTATTCCATCTAATCTGATCCTGCATAGCTGTTATGGAATATCATATAGTTCATGCAGTCCAAAACATGTACAGTACCAGAATTTTTCTCATTTTCAAGTTATTATATCCTATCATCAATATTAAATATAAAATCAAAAGAAATCACTACCCAGTAGATCATCTCAAGGAAAATCTTGTAGTGTTTTTTTAAAGCAATAGGAGTTGTTTGAAAAGTGGTATAATTGTTTAAAATATTTGATTGTGTGGAAAATGAAAAATTTGTTACCTATAGCCACATTGTAACGATCCCCTTTCAGATAGTTAGTTCTTGGCGACGGGGAACGATACTTATCTTTTCTTTCTCTTTCTTTCTTTGTCTTACGATAGCTCTAGGCCTCTGCCTATGTTACCGATAGTACAAGACCCTTGTCTTCTATCGGAAACACCTATGGTAAGCTTTCTCTAACTCGTCTTCGTGATGAGTGCTCCTTGGCGTAATGATAACGTTGCAATAAGGATAAAGATCATAAAGGTGTTTTATATTCGTTAAAGTAATAAGTAGGAAAAGTACTTAGAACAAAGTGTGAAGAACCTATCTTCGTCGGCCGCATCGGCCTCCTTATATAGTGTTCTTCCCGCCTTTAATCATGTGACCTAAAGTGGTCACTTGTGCAAAACCAAATTAAAACAAACTAGTCATGTGACCAAAGTGATCACATGCTCAAAACCCATGACCTTATAGCGAGGTCATATGCCAAACTCATAAACTAATCATAACGCAATAAACAAGTCATATGACTCGACTGAGTCATATGCACGAAACCCATGACATCATAATGAGGTCATGTGCGAAATGTAAATCATATGCACAAGGCTTGCCCGTAAGGCATACTCGTAAGGCATACTCGTCAGGCGCATGTCCCATGACTCATACTCGAGCCATGTGCGAAAGCATCACAAATCCCACACATAACTAATCATACAACACGAATAGGTTATATGCATGAAACAATAACATACCTGTAACTCATAATCATGTGTCACATGAAAACCCTTTCCCCACTAAGCCACGTTCGTGATACACATACTAATTGACCATCTAGGGCTATCCTTTTATATTAATCATTAATATTTCATACTAAGAGATATAATTTCATACTAAGTTGAGTGCTAATTGTGATTTAAATACAATGATAATTTAATAATATTATTATAATTATTTGAAGAAATTATTTTTACCTTTGAATTCTATTAAGATAATTACTTGAAAGATTTATTATATATATAATAAGATACTAATTTAGCCATTAGCAGGTAGAGTATATTATATATATAGATAAGAAAAGAATAAAATTTACGATAGTTTAGATGTGTTTTTGTCAGCAATTAAGTATAAATAGTCCCTTATAAATTACAGAAACTAGTAGTAAATTAGATTGACTTTTAGGTATTATATTTATTGCTTACACATATGATAAAATATCATATTCTATAATTATTATCATTGAAAATTTAAACTTATTTTACTTATAAATCTGAATTCTTTTTTTCGTCTGATTTTAGGTCATTTATAGTAATATCTTGGCAGATAAACATACTCAACTATGTAATATTTCTGCTTTAGCCTGGTACATGTTTTGGACTGCACAAACTATACTAGAACCAAAGTTTCTTACAATATAAAGATCCACTCCATTAACTTGACATTTAAATTTTGAAAAGAGAATGGAAAAAGTCAACATAGAAACCTGATAAAGTAGAAAAGAAAGAAAAACAACATACTGGTTGAGGTATATTAGTATGAAAGAAGAAATTAGAAAAAATACAGAGAAGAAGACTAAGAAAGAAAATAAATTACAGGGACAAAGCTTTTTGTCCAGTAAGGTAATAGCAATCCTAATACTATCATCTATTTTTTACTTATACAACCACAACTAGTTATAATGAACTAAATACATGTGTATATATCTATTAAATATAGGAAAATCTTTATGTGAAATTGCAGAGAAAAAAATCAATACTTAGTATACCATGTCTTTATATCTAAAACAGCAGCCACTCTCCTATGCATAGATTTCCACAAACTTTCTGAGTCCAAGTCACATTAAAAGCTTCTACTAAACATCTCCTAATCGTATCTGGCCTCCTCTTAGTCTTGTGAATGCCAGGAAAGCGCTGATGTAGCTTTTCCTTTAACCACTTCTAATAGTGCTAAATTGGATTGAAGTCAGGTGAATTGGGAGGCCATTCCATAACCTGTATATTGTTTTCTTCAAACTAAGCTATAGTAGTTCTTGTAATATGTATCTTTGCATCATCCTCCTAAAAGATAGGATATCCAACTATGTTCTCTACCTCCTGCCAGATATCAACTAAGCTATCTTCTAAAACTCTAATATATAAAAATCTATTCACACTCTTGTCAAATATGGGAATCAGAGGACTCTTATTTTTACTCCAAATACAAGTCCATACTATCAACTTTATCCTAGGTTCTTTGGTAATCCTTTAGATACAGTCCTTATATCACTTTTCTTGAGGTATTCTGAAGACCCAAATATGGTTAAGATCTTTGGACTTTTCAACCATGTGTTCATCACTAAAGATGACCTTAAAGTCCTTCTTTGTTCAGTTCTTATACTCCTTTACCCAAGCTAACCTCTTGATAGCATGTTTATCCTTCAGAAATACCCTTTTCCTAACTCTCCACTTCTTTATGTTAACTGATGTCAAAGATTCTCTTGACTGTCTTAACAGAAGCATGTGGAACAATCATATTGTGCAATTCTGATCATGGCTGGCAGTATGCCTTCTTGGACTTTCTGACTAGGTGGCTATGAGTTCTAGGATAGATAATTTTGGATCTTACAGTAAATGAGAGGTTTTTTTGCATTACTTCTTTTTTAATAGTTGTTGTAAAAACTTTGAACAGTACTTTTAGAGAGAAGTAAGAGTGATTCAATTTCAGAAAATGTAAGATTTAGTTGCCCTAGAGCAACAATTTGCTTCTTCTTCAAGTCTGTAAGATAGCTTGTAGTTTCTGGAGGCATCATTATTGAGAGGTAGTTTATCAAGGAGGTGAAGTTTTTCATGGTATTGCTCAGTAACCACTAGTTGGACTATTAGGTGGAGATGATCTGTATAGAGTCAGAATTGTCTAAGCCAATCAAGATTCATTTTGTAGATGGATATTTGTCTAGGAAGGCTTAAAGATTTACTCATTTTATTTATAACTATTAAGAGTAAGGTAAAGTAGAATAGAATTGGAAAAACAATATTATATTGTTAAGATCTCTTCTCTGTTGCTTGATGATGTCTAAAATCTTGGGAGGAACTTCAATATTTATATTCTGCATCTGAGTGTTTGTGGACTCTATTTATCTCTTATACAATTTATGTACCTCTCTAACTATTACTTGCAATGTCAGGTATGCACCAAAAGTGTGGACACTGGGAGATTCTGAAAACTATTACATCCTTTTTGGTAATTCACTATTTTGCCAGTTAGGGAATTGTGCTGTATTTGATAGTAATTATTTAATCTTCAGAGTTCTTAGACTTATGGCCTAGTTTTCAAGTTGAACTGTGTTGACCGTAATTGTCTCTGCTATTGATGAAATGATTAGTTTCATCCACAGGTAGTGTCTGAAGGAGTAGTCGTAGATGCAAGGTTCCTTGGTTACCAACTTTAAATCTCCATAACTCCTGATCCAACTGAGAGATATTTTTTAAATAACTTCCTACTGATTTACAAAAAGATATTCTACCAGATTGGTAGATAATATCTCA